AACATGGCCGCTGGCCGCCCGAGTCCCCGCTCCTCCCTCCTCCCTGCATAAACGCTCGCTCAACCAAGTGCAAATGATGGCCACCCCACCGTCACAGTTGACCACTGCTGGCCGCCTCATTACACACGGCAGATCTTGACGCCCAAGTTGTGCCTCCCCTTGCACATGTTGCAATCCCATAAGTACAACGTCCCACGAACTAGCAACCAAACAGACGATTGGCAAACAAAACAACCAACCAACCAAATAACTAAACAATTAGACAACCACATAACTAATCAACAACCAACCAACGCACCCAACAACCCAACAAACAGGCTCGCAGACGAGGCCTCCCGCGCCGCCGTCTCCCCCCGCCTGATCGAATTCTGGCAGCGCTTCCAGGCCCTCGCCCCCGCCGGCGCGCGCGGCGCGCTGTCGATCCGCGACCTGCTGGCATGGGTGTCATTCGTGAACGCGACAGCCGGAAAGCTGGGCCCCCTGGCGGCGTATGCGCACGGCGCGCACCTAACGCTGCTGGACGGCTTGGGCTTGGGTACCGGCCTGCCGCCCGCCTCGCTGGCCGCGCTGCGGCGGCGGTGCGAGCAGCTGCTCGCCGCGCAGCTGCCGGAGGCGGACCGCTCGGCGGCGGAGCGGGCGGCGGGGCGGCACATCGTGGCGGCAGAGGGCGACGATGCGGAGGAGCAGACACCCCCGCCCGGCTGGTGGGGGATGGCTCCCTTCTTCATCGAGCAGGGCGCCGGCGCCGCCACCACCAGCGCGCGCTTCGAGCTGCGCGCGGCGCCGACCGCGGCGCGCAACGCGTACCGGCTGCTGCGCGCGATGCAGCTGCGCAAGGCCGTGCTCCTGGAGGGCTCCCCCGGCGTCGGCAAGACCAGCCTGGTCACGGCGCTCGCCAAGCACGCGGCGGCGCCGCTGGTGCGGATAAACCTCTCGGAGCATACGGATATGATGGATCTGCTGGGGGCGGACCTGCCGGCGCCGGGCGGCGCCGCGGGCGCGTTTGCGTGGTGCGACGGGCCGCTGCTGGGGGCGCTGAAGAG